CGGCGGCAGGTGCTGGGTCGCGGGTGCCGGGGGCTGGTAGCCGGGCCCCCCGCCCGGGCCTCCGTCTCCGCCGCCCGGGCCGCTGTGCTGCGCGTACTCCTCGAAGGGAGGGAACTTGGGCTCGATGTAGTTGGAGTTTATCAAAAACGAGCTCATGGTCATTAATTTGTGAAGTGCAAAAATACTAATTTTTCTCGCGTTGTCGTTTTTCTGGGCTCGCGGAGGCCCCTCCCCCTCCTGCCTCGCTACCCATCCCCCTTTCCTTTGCGCCCTTCCCCTCCCCCCGCTGTCAAGTGCCCTCCCCTCCCCCTCCCGCCGACGCCACCGCCAAAGTTCGAGGCGCTCCTCCCCCGCCCGCACGCGTGCGCGCGCGCGTTTCGCCCAGGCCCCGCGCGCGCCCTGCCCCGCCCCACGTGCAACGCCCTCACCAATGGGCGCTCCGCGCGCGCGGACCCGGATCAGGAAACGCGCGGGTGGGTGATGGATGTCGCTGTCCCGCCCGAGGCGGGGGCAGTGAGCTGGGGTTTCGGTCCTCCAGCCCCGGTGACTCGAATTCCTGCTGGGAATTCGGGGCCTGACAGGCTGTAGGTCCTCTCGGGCCCTATGCAGGTCCTCCTTCTGACCTGCCCCTCTGAGAAGAGGCGGCTGCGGCTCAGCGCTGACCTCTAGCCCAGTCGGGCCGCGCGTACTCCAGGGTTCGAGGCCCGCTGGGAGAGGGAAGGGCATCGAGACCAAGGGACGTCCCGGGTTTTATCCTGGCCCGGGAATAAAACGAATGAGCCAGCGCACCCGCTTTCTCACCCGTTGATTCCTTCCCCACGCACTGCGGTCTGGTCTGCTCGAGTCCTTGCTTGAGAAGCCTGGCAGGAGCCGCAGTGGGGAGATGGGAGGGCAGCTTAGAGAAATCTGCACAAGGATGTAAAGCAGGGCCATCCCAGTATAACCAGATGGGCACTGTCTGTATTTTTTCCCCTTTTTAATTCTTTTAGAGACCGACTGGGCTTTTCTCCTAAAATTTTTGGAACCTTCCTAATAGCATCTAATTTGACTGGTGTGGACATGAGAACTAAACAATGTCTGTTTTGGGCTGGAGATTTAGCTCAGCGGCACACCGCTTGTCTGGCAAGCGCAAGGTCGTGAGTTCGATTCCCGGTACCAGAAAAAAAAAAAAAAACTAAATATGTCTGTTTTTACTAGGTGCGACTGTGAGAGACTGTGGCCCAAGGATAGGAATGGAAAGAAGCAGCGCCTCCACAAAAAAAAAAAAAAAAAAAAACTTTGAAGCCAGTAACTTCCTATTTTAGAACAATCCCCCAGCAAGCCCTTGTCGGGTCTGATCGCGGACAGGTCTTTTCGAGCTAAGGGTTTTGCTTTCTCTTCTGGACGCTGCTTTCTCAAACTGTATCTAGGGCTAGAGTTATATTTACAGGACAGTCCATAATTTCTGAATTGCTGAAAATTAGCATATTAACGATATCAATAGTTCCGGAAGGGAGGGAGAGGGAACTGTTGCCTGCCATTTGCTAATTGAAATTTGATGGCTAAACGATGCCATTATTAATAAATAACTTATTCATTCCACCTAACGTTGATCTTTGAAGTAACCACTGATACCTTATTGTTAATGTGTGCCTTCCCTTGTCTGACTTATAAATACACCTAAGTGCTCTTTTTCAGGCTAGATTAAAGCAGGGCAAACTAGCAGAGTCACCATTCTAAAAATAACTTTCACATTGGCATGCAGAATAAGGATATTTCAGCTGGTGCACCTTCGTTGATTTTTTTTAAAGAGCAGTATAAACATTTCTCACAACTGAGTCTGGAATGCAGACAAGGAAAGTTATAGCCCAAGCCTAAAGACACTTCAAAAAGAATGTCAATTCTATCTTCATTTATATCGGTTACTCATATGAATTACTAAATGCTGGAATATATCCATTTGATGGATAGTCATTTAATGCTTAGCCACATAAAGCCTATTATATGGGACTAATCTTTAAACTAATTTAGGAAAAGAGGTTAAAAAAGGGATCATGTTAGCTTTCTGACTGGAATCTGTAATTGCCCTGAAGTGGTACAAAGAGGTTTTCCATATTGGGTGTATGTGAAGAGCGCTGTCCATTGATGTGAGGCCCTCTGGAAAAATTTTGTTTTTAATGAAATCTGAGTTAGACAGAAATCAACATTGACTGTAATCTTTAGACATCCTTTCTGGAACTGGAGGGAAGGATCTAGCCTGCAATACAACTGCCTAAACTAGTACATCTCCCAGCAAGAAAAAAATATGTACATAGAGCATAACAATATATACATATATAGCGGTATTAGAAATTTGGGCTCTCTAAACTTCAAGGGGAGGAAAAAGCATGACAAGGAAATCTTGCCCTCCTCGTGTCATCAGCTTTGAGTACTAGAGTCTTAACTGTGTCTGTTTAATATTTACAGGCACTGAAACACAACATTCATGTTATCCAGCCTCAGACCCTTCTATGGAGTTTCTATTTTTTAAATATTAAGGCGACACAGGCACTGTTTTGTATACAGTTAAACTAAATGAGTTAACTGTGCCTGTGTTTTGTGCAGTTCTGTTACTTTAGGAAGATGGGCTTACACAGAATTCCCTCAAGGCCTGTAACTTGTCTTTGTGGTTCCTATCATAAACACAAACGGAGCCAGGACCACCAAGTGTTATCTCACACACCGACATTTTGACATTTTACTGCAAGATTTATGGCTATAATAAACAATCTCAGTACCTTTTCTGAACCTTCCACAATGTCTTTGCAAGCCATAGCATAATTCCGCTGAATCAAATAATCTTTTGAAAGACACCTTTTAAAAAACATCTCTTGCCTTCCTGTAAGATCCAAGACACCAAAGAAAAAGTAGGAAGATATTAACAATTAAAAAACAAACAAGTTTACCAGAAGCATCTTGCTCGAGAAAAGATGGGATGCTTTGAAATCGAGCAGAGAGGGAGCAAGCTAATCTTCGCAGGCCAACTGGCTCCAGTCCCAAGCACGGTGAAAGCGTTTTCCTTTTCTTGGGAAACTGGTAAGCACATTTGCTCATTTCCACGTGGAGGGATAACATATATTCCCAACAAAAGCTTTCTTAAAATCCCATTAAGTGAAATAACTTTTCATCGTGTCCTCACGTCCCAGATGGAGAAGGAGAGCGAGGGAAGTCTGAGGAGAGGGAGGGAGAGGGAGGCAGTGTTTGCAGCTTGGTTTGAATCTGATTTGAATCATTTTGAATATATTTGGAACAGCCTTCCCTCTTGAATGCAACCCTGTCCCAAGTTTCAAAGTGACCGAACAGTGACACCGTGTGCATTTTGTTTCTTATTAATCTTACACATTGACAGTCTTTGTTAAATCACAAGGCGCGCCCTTCACCAGCCGACATTTTCATATTTGTTAGACGCGCTGACCTGAAGTTCACCTCGGCCTTGGACTTTGCGCTTCTAAAAGGTCTATACAGTGTCTTTTAGAGAGCAGGGTGCTTTGCCCAGGTCACTCCCTCTCAGGAAAAAACCAAGGGAAAAAGCAAAGGAAATGTATACATTATGGAATGTATTGACTGTATTTGTCCTTTGTTGTTCAGAGTCAGAATCACCCAGACTTGTTCTCTATCTGTCTGTCTCTGGAGCGGACTGGGGGAATGGCAGAAATTCAGAATGCCTGATGGTGGTATTTAAGGGCTTCCCCTACCTACTCTAGACATCACTGTAGAGGAATAACACTTCATCAGACGTTTTACCAATTAATTGTTTGGGGGTAGTGTCCTGGTAGCAGTTTAAAATGATGTACACAATCCAAGCATAAGGACTGTAATTCATTTTAGGATTTCACATAAATTTTAAACAGGATTGTGTGAGAGGCCTAAAGAGCAAAATCTGAATAAAAGGCTTTCTAAAAAAATCTGTCACTTCTGCCAGTATCTTTTTCTTTCACTTTAAAGGCTACCATGGAGGTACCTAGGAGTAGTGAAGCTGTTTCTAAGGTGTGTTACACTGTTTTAACAAAAAGCACAATGGAAAGGTTCTCTTAAAGAGACATAATTGTCTCCAAGAGAGGGAATTTCCGTTTTTTTTCCGTTTCACTAGCCCAGATGTGTGGTAATGTGTTCACTGCTGTAACAGCAATCACCACAGTTGTTTCCTTTCTTCTACTTCATCTGGCAAAATCCCATTTGGCTCTAAGCTCTTGGCCAGACTAAAAACTTTACACATTACCCAGTAGAAGCACCCAGATTACTTCCATGAAAGCAGTGTTTGGGAAATATTTACTTCACCACTGAACATACCTGGCACTGTTAAACCTAATCAACCTGAACACATTGGGATGATCTTAAACACCGCTGTAAGAGTCTACAGTTTGTGTAGTTGGGTTATCTCAAAAATGCAGAAGAAAAACCAAGGAAAATAGTTTCTTTCCCCCACTACTTTCCTACAGTAATCCTTTGAAGGTCAATATATAGAAAAGGAAAATATATCCCCCATAAAATAGATTCTAATAGCATCAACACTTAACTAATCCAGATCCATAAAATATTGCTTAGCTCTTCAATTGCAATTCATACATAACTCATGGTTCCTATCTGCTTCTTTGAAACACTAGTCCTTTCCTTTTCTACTCTCCCACCCCTCCTTCTTAGCTTTCTTTCCCTTTTCCTCAGCCACCTCCCCTCAATTCCACATCTATTTTCAAAAAGTATTGGAGAACAGAAGTCTTTCATGGTGGCCTTACAAACTGGCCTGGCACTTATGGATTCCACCTTTCCCCATTCTCTACAGTTATTCACTTGTAGATTATAGCATTTATTTTTACTCAGTTGTGGTTTAAAATTAAATAAAACAAAAATTTCAGCAATTGCAATAATGTAAATGTTTTTTCCATACCAATGAGCATTTTTCTCACTAGTGGTGATGGTAATTCTGTTCCTTTCAGGAGGGTTTCTACTTCCTTTCCTCCCCTTCCCAGCTCTAAGAATTATTTGCATTTGGTGGGTTACAGTTTCAGGAGAAGCATTTTCTATGTTTGAAAATTGCAAAGAATACATTTTTCAAAAAGTAGCTGCATTTACCCTTATCCTTGCACGTTTTAGAGGTCATTATATGTGCTAACAGGAAAAAATAACTCTGGCCAATCCAAATTCTCTTTTCCAAATTAAAGAGGTTCACTGTGCTGTACTCTTCCCTTTGAGGGCATGATAGAACACTGGAAACTTGCTACATTATTTCTTAAAGGCCTACTACTGAATTTTGAGCACTTTTATTTTGTGACAAACCCACAAACCACTCCTGGTTCCCCAACATCTAAAGTGTTGTTGTTTCAGTAACCTATGCCTATTTACCTGCTGCTATTCCCTGAGAATGGGAGTGATAATTCAACATGAAATACAGCATGTATTACTCTTGAAAAGAGGAATTTTCTATCCTTTCCTCCGTAATTGAGGTCATTCAACCACTAGGGTTCACCTGGAGTCCATACCGTGATACACGCGTCACTCTGAGCCATTTTATCTTTTGTGCTGATAGTCAAGATCGCAGCTCTAACATTGACATCAAACTCTGTCTGGGCAGATGACTAAGAGTGCTGCACAATGTAAACTTTTGACCCTCAACTTTTTGACCCACAGTTGTAACACACTAACCACAAAGATACACAAAGCTGAGCTTCTTCTTTCAGAGGGAAGAGGCCCCTGAGGATCTCAGGATGCCCTTCTGCCAGAGCCTTTGGAATTAGAGGATGAGCTGCATATTTTTATGTGTTTGTGACTGTATTTCCTGTTAAATTAGCCTCTTCTTTTTGTCAGCACATAGATAGGAACTAGATTAACTGGAAATCACTTATGATTCTACTGACAATGAAAATTTGGAGTACAAAAGAATCTTGCAAAAATAAAAAAGGAAAAAGAAGATGGGGGAAAGCCAGCAATGAAAGGTGAAGACTTTTTTCTTTATTTAAAAATAAAGACGGTGTTCTAATTGTTGGGAGAGCTGGCCCAGGCAGGCAAGTTGACTGTGAACTTGTACTAAAGCGTGCTCTGCTGGCGATTCCTAGGGTGTGCAGATTTATCTTCTCTGCATTTACTTAACCCGGCAGTGAACTGCATGGGCGTCATTTGTTAGGCGATGACAGACTTCACCTCCAGCAAGGGCTGCTTCACAAAATCGCAATAATTACCTAATAACCTTCATAACAAATATTATTATTGAAAAGACTGGTTTGTGGAGAAAGGATCTGGTGGGAGAAGGACAAATCTCTTTGTGAAAAACACCAAACAAAACAACCCTAACTGACCCTCCAGGTGCTGGGGCTTAGAATGGCTAGGACCTTGGATCCTAACCCATATGTGCTGGGAATCTAAGCTGACCCCCTCAACCTTGCGTGGGAGCCCCACTTATAGTTTTGTCATTGGCTAGAAGCAAATTCCCCCTTGGAAGCCGAAGGAGTGGAGCCCACAGTACTCTGCCCTCTCTGAAGTAGGCAAGCCATGGGCACCTCCCCAGCCAAGGCAGGAGAGACACTAAGTGAATCTTTCAAGCTAAAAGGATTGTTTTCCCCTTTAATAGGCCATCTTTTAGGATGTGATTATTTGGATCTCTGCATCTCAACAAATACACATGACTGTTTCTGGGAGAAAATTCTGTCTTGCTCTCCCAGAGCTGCCAACAATGCAGCAGGGGAAAGTCCATGAGAGAAAGGGAATCTTGGCATAGTGTTGTGAAATTAGACCATAGAGACCCTAACAAACCCCTAAGTGAGTGTGACCAGAAGCTTCCTATTATATTTACAGTTCAGGAAATATTGTCTCTTAGGCTTGTGGAAACAAACAAGCCTCTGCACATTTCCGTTGCCTTCTCTTTTTGCAAGATGAGGAGAAGCACAGACTCACACTTCGGCCACCGGCTGAGGAGCTGAGACTGGATGCCCTCATAAAGCTTTCAGTGATAGTGTTTTTTGTTTTGTTTTGTTTTTTTAAAGTTAGTTTCTCTCCAGAAACAATTCAAAAGGATGCACAAGAAATAACTTATCTACTAAATGAGCAGAGAGCAGCCACCCTCTTTAGTACGCTTCCTATGAAAATAAGAAAAAGAAAAAAAATCCCTCCAATAGCATTCACATAGGATTGACTGGATGCTGTATTTCTTAAAAGTCATTTAACTCCACATGGGTTGACCTGCCCTCTTAAATTCTCCTTAAGTTTTGTGAAGATTAACACAGACAGAAATAAGTAAGCTGACAATATTTATAACCTGTATTTTAAAAATTTGCTGGAGAGATTATCTATGTTTTATGATGTTGGACATGACTCCAACAACTCAGCCACTGAGGAGGTGTGGACATTTTCTTTACTCAAGGTATTCAGAGGAACCTGCCAGCATCCCTAGACTCTTGTCTTCTGCTTCTAATCTCAATCACCAAGAAAACGCCAAAGCACCATCATTGAAGTGGAGCCAAAACCCAATGTTTTCCAACAAAGGTCCCCAAACTCAGAGCAGCAACACAAGGAATCCAGACCTCTCATAGGCACATAAGACAGAACCCACACGTGTAGAATTTTTTTGGTTCCCAGTAAGATGTAGACACATCCTCCTAAGTGTAGAAATACCAAAATTCACTTTGACAGCTTACACAAAGTGACTACAAGGATTCACCTTGCCACACTATGAAAAGTAGACTTAAGGCAGGGTTTTAATTTTTCCAGACAAAGCTCTCCAAGTTTTGATTTTGGAATTTGTGACTTTAAGGACATCTGTTGGACTTACTCTAAGTGTAGACCCCTTTGCACAATAAAGTCTGTAGAAATTCCAAACCTATACTTTAAAATATTTTTCTTTAAGCACTTGATAAATATCTATATTAATGAGTACCTGCAGAAAACTACCTAGCTCCCAAGGGGGAGGGGGACAGATCCCATTCTTTCCAATACAGTTTGAGATTTGCCTTAACTTCTCAAACAGGATTGGGGCAAATCTGCTAGGTCCCTTGTGGATACTCCCTCAAAAGACCCCAGGACTTGCTACAATGTTCCAGTCACCGGTTCGGTTTCCCACTGAAGAATGGTGGGGGGTGCACAAGGGTGGCTTGGGCCAAGGTAAAACTGTACCCAGGAAAAAATTTATTTCACCTTACTTCACTCATTGGTACAATTTTGGAGATTGTTTTGGAAATCATAGATTATGTAAATTTCCTGAGATCAAACAGAAAGAGCAACTAACAAAAGAGAGGCGGAAATCTCCTACTGACAAACGACCAATTTCTTTCCTAAACTATACTTTATGATGTGTCAGGATAAACAACTTAATGGCTCTGGGGACTTTTAAGTTGGTCATTGAAGACACCTCGATTTCCCCCCAAACTTTAGGGCGCAGTTTGGAAGAGAGAATTTGTGCGTTGAGAGACAGTAAATTTCTCTAATCTTTAGTGCTATCTAGGGGGACGCCTAAGTTGCCTTCTGAGGGTCCTATGCATAGATGTTTTAATTCTACAAAGAAGGAGAGGAAGAGGAAAAGAAGAGAGGGAGAAGAAAGGCAGGGCGGAAGAAAAGAGAGCGCTTTAAGCCCTTTCAATTAGCCTGGGGATTCAAAGATTAAAGTTAAATCCGGCCATAAAGTTTATTGCTCCAGACTCACAGGCGGGTGAGAAGAGTCCCATGAAATAAAAAGAAGGTGCAGGCAAACAAGGTTCAGGGCCTGGTCCCGGGTGCGGGGTAGGGTGTGCTGCCCTTCTCGGATGGGGACCCGCAGTCCCCAGAGTGCAATGGGAGCCAGCAGCCTGGGATCGGCCCTGGAATCCACGGACCCAGCCTGGAGGTGCAATCCGCGCCTCACCAGCCTCTGCCACCCTCCTGCTTTCGCGAACCATCCTGAAACCCGGCCCCGAAGGCCGCCTCAATTCAGTCCTGCCAAATGACCCTGGCTAGCGAAGACATATTGCCACAGCCCCGTAAGGAATCCCGCCAGAGTCCGCCTTGGCCCTGCCCGGGCCTTTCTTTCAAACTCCCCGAGAGCAGCCCCGGCGCCCGCAGCCGGCGCCCCACTGTCTCCCAGCCCCCACCCCGGGGCTCCGCGACCCCCGAAGAGCCGGGACCCAGCCAGGCCCGGAATGATGGGGGCTTCTGCCAAGTCTCCACACACAGGCCCATTCGCACACAAAATCATCTTTTTTGCACGCCGGCAGGAGCAGCGGAAGTCATTAACATCCGCGGCTGTGCAGCAATTAAAGTTAGGCCTGGGGATGCGACGCCGCCACAGGCTCTGTTCACCGTGCTGCCTGCATTCGTAAAACTAGCTCTTGGCGCTGGAAATTGAGCAAAGGACAAGTATGCCCTCCCATTTTAAATTGTGATATAGTCTCAGGGTTATTGAAGGAAAGGAGAGAGAGAGAGAGAGAGAGAATAATGATAAAGTTTTCAGAGTACAAATAAACTTGAAAGGGCTCAAAAGGCGAGCTTACCTTAACTCGGAGGGAGCCATTTTTCAGAGAGTTTTGAGAACTTGTGGTTTGGACACTTCTGGACCTAAAATTGACAATTTGAATGACCAGGCAGCACACGTAGCCTGCAAAAGAGTCAAATGGAGTCCAGCGTCAGTGAGATTATATGTTATGTGGTATATAATGTTGGATGTCAACTCCCCAAAACCATAAAACTTACTTTAATGGCCCCACGTGACGTTTTATAGCCAGTGAGCCGATCTGTCTGTGCTATGGATGATTTTACGATCTAATTCATAGACAAAACCCTATTCATTTGGCACCCAAATGTCATATAGCCGGAACTGGGGCTTATAAAGTTTACTGTTTTATAACTTTTAAAAGGAAAGACGGCATCAGTGTAAGCGGTCGGTAAATGTGCAAATCTCTAGTTGCGCTTAGCAGTTCTGAGGAGTGTCCCAATCAAGCTAGGATGGGGTAAGTACCTTCCATTTGTAGCAAATTAATTGTAGCAAAAGAAGCCAACCTGGTTCAGGGTGAGGAGTCGGGAAGGGGCACCGGGGTTGGTTAGGGGCAAGGGTTTGGGCTCCACAATCTGGCACAGAACCCTCTACAGCAAATGGAGGCCTAGGACAGGCTTAGGAAAGAGAAAGGATCTGTGGGCCCCCAAGGTGGCTAACAAAGCCCTGGGCTTTTTCTCCTGCTTTCTCTCTCTTCCACTCTCCTTTTTTTTTTTACCCAGCAAGTTAACTTGGTTTCCTCAGAGATGGGCAAGGTGGATAGGCTTTGGAACTGCCTGTAGCTTTTCCTGATTTCTGCCCTGAACTTTCTGTTGGGTCAGACTTAGGGAGGCAGATGGTCAGTATGTTGGTCTGAGGCCTCCAAGCACAAACAATCTGCTCAGGTAAGCCTCAGGCTTACCAGCTTCCAAGACTAGACGGACAGACAGACAGACAAACAGAAAAGCATGAGGAGCCGCTTGCTATTTGGCACAAACCAGACCAAGAGAACTTACAATAGAAAGTTTATTTTTTGTTTCCAGTCAGTATTTTTCCTTAAAAACAAATAACCCCCCCCCCAAAAAAAAGCTGATCACAGTTTGCTTAAACAGCCAGACTTGGACAATATTTGTAACTTTGTTCACAAAAACATACATCACTGAAGCTGCGCTTATAAGAGCCACTTCCAGAGTTCGTGCAAAGGGTCCTACAAAGGCACGCAGGGACACACCGCTTGGAGTCACAGTTTTCGTCACAGAGTCACTAGTCACTACACGTTGAACAAGTTAAGTTGTGTCTCATTAAGTCACCTCTACAACAGCATTAATTACACAAGGAATATAGGTAGTTTGAATAAAAATATCTTTAACAGCTTGGAGCTATTGAGACAGGAACACTTCCACGCACATGCACAGTTAAACAACTCTAGTGCAACACACAACATTGGCGCTAAACGAGGTTGGAGGGGGACTTTTCTGTGTGTTTTTTTTTTTCTTTTCTTTTTTGTTATAGTTACTTCAAGTAACACAGCTTGCTTCATATAAATAAGTTAAAACATCTATTTTTTTTTTCTCAAGACAAAGCCATTCAGGACAAAGAGATGAACAGAAAGCAGATCTACTTATACAGGCGCTATAATGGCAATAAACAGGCTCATGATTAAAAGATGAATTAGGGCAACGAGAACAGGGCTTCTTCACAGAAGGAACACAAGGGAGTTTCAGAAAGTCACCTTAGTACTGACACTAAGCGGGATCCGCTAATACTGCTCAGTACTTTAAACGCTCAAATGCTCAGGGGCGGAAGGCCCCTCCTGCTGCGGCCATGCTCATACTTTTCAGCTTATTATCTTTTTTCCACTTCATTCTCCGGTTTTGGAACCAGATTTTAATTTGTCTCTCAGAGAGGCAAAGAGCATGTGCTATTTCAATCCTTCTTCTGCGGGTCAGGTAGCGGTTGAAGTGGAACTCCTTCTCCAGCTCCAGGGTCTGGTAACGTGTGTAGGCCGTCCGGGCCCTTTTGCCTTCAGGGCCGCCTATGTTGTCTGCAATAGAAAAGTCAGCGGTTTAGCCACCAACTCCTCAGCCCCTGGCTTTCAAAGTCCACCAGCTGACGAGCTAGGGTCCAGGGAGAGCGGGGAACCAGGCAAAAGGCTCAACAAGTTTTCCCTCCCTGTCCACCCGCCACTCCCCAATTTCCTTCCCTCTTCCTTTCTAGAGAGAAAACAATACGGTTTGGACTCTGGGAACAATCGGCCCATCTGAGGCTGGAACCACGTCCCGGAGGACCGCCGGGCTTTCCCTCGCCCCTCTGTGCCCTCTGGCCCTGCCCCAGGAGCCCCAAGCAGGGGGCACAGCCCTCCCAGGCTGCCCACCTCTCGGAAACCCACCGAAGCACGGCCCTTTTCTGAGTGTCCAAGTGGCCTCCAGGTCACCCTCCCTTAAAGTTCCAGCCCCATGAGCCGCCTCCAGTCCCAGCCTGTACGCCTGGGGCGCCTGCTTTCTTTCTTTTTCCTCTTTCCTTCTCTCTCCCTCTTTCCCCCAAACTTCAGAATCCCGCCGGCCCTCGCCTCGATTATTCCCCCCAAGCCCCTTTTCGGGGCTCTAATTAGTAACGCTGTTTCCCCGGCGTAGCCCTTCCCATAAATTATCCACCCTGACAAGCCCGATTCACGGCCCCTTCTGCCTGCCATCCTCTACCTCTCTGCACCCTGCTCGGCTGGCCTGACCCAGAGCGCGTTCCGAGGCGCTGGGGTTCAAGACAGGATTTTTTTTTTTTTTCTCCTTTCTCCCTTTTTTAAAGTCCAAACTTGCCTGGCCCCCGGCTCATTGCCCCGCTATTTGCCAGTGCAGGTTGCTGCAGAGAAGCGGAGGACGGGTGGAGGCAGGGGAAGGAGATCGGCAGGGAGAAGCTCCGCAGGGCTGGGAGAGGAGACTAGGAGAGAGACCCGGAGAAAGGGCGGCAAAGGAGACAGGGGAGACCGAGAGCCGCGCCCCCGCGGACGCGTGGATTAGAAAAAGGCTGGCTTTACCATGACTTATGTGCAGCTTGCGCATCCAGGGGTAGATCTGGGGCTGGGCGGGCGGCGCCGGGCTCGGCTCGCTTTGCGCGCTCGCCTGCTCGCTGCTGGCGGGGGCGTCCTCCTCGGCTCCGGACGCCGTGCCAACCCCCTCTCTGCTGTTGATGTGGGTGCTGCCGGCGTTGGCCGAGGCGCCGCTGGAGTTGCCCAGAGAGTTTTTCCCGCCGTGGTGGCTGTCGCTGCCGGGCGAGGGGGCCACGGCGGAGCAGGGCAGCGGGTCGGGCGGAGGAGAGTGCGTGGACGTGGCCGGCTGGCTGTACCTGGGCTCGGCGGGCGCCGCGCTGGCGCCGGCCGCGTAGCTGCGGGCGCGCTCCCCGGAGCCAAAGTGGCCGGAGCCCGAGCGGCCGACGCTGAGATCCATGCCATTGTAGCCGTAGCCGTACCTGCCGGAGTGCATGCTCGCCGAATCCCTGAATTGTTCGCTCACGGAACTATGATCTCCATAATTATGCAACTGGTAGTCCGGGCCATTTGGATAGCGACCGCAAAATGAGTTTACAAAATAAGAGCTCATTTGTTTTTTGATATGTGTGCTTGATTTGTGGCTCGCGGTCGTTTGTGCGTCTATAGCACCCTTGCACAATTTATGATGAATTATGGAAATGACTGGGACATGTACTTGGTTCCCTCCTACGTAGGCACCCAAATATGGGGTACGACTTCGAATCACGTGCTTTTGTTGTCCAGTCGTAAATCCTGCCTGATGACCTCTAGAGGTAAACTCGTGCACTAATGGGGGAGTTGGGTGGAGGCGAGAGGGGTGGCGCGCGCGCCCCAGGCGCGTGCCCGCCGCCCGCCGCCGCCGTTCAGTCGGACTCGAGCGCCACCCGCTGGAGGCAGGGAGCATCGCTCCGCTTCCGACCCCGGGCTGCAAGGGCCGGGGTCGAATTGAGGTTACAGCCCATTATGGCAAAATTATTGCATTTCCCTCGCAGTTCCATTAGGATGTACCAATTGTGAGGCCGTCAGCTGCCGATCGCGCGCCCGGCGAGGATGCAGAGAATTAGGGGGAGGTGGTGACTTGGAATTTATTTACAACTTTATTTGCCCGCTTTGCAGCCCCTCTTATTTTTGTGTCGAGGTTGGGGTCGGTTCTGCCATCCTGCCGGCAGCTCTGAATTTTGAAAATACAGATAACACCTTCGGGGAAGGGGAGGAGGCCATTTAGCCAAATTGGAGAAATAAATCCTGCCCGCAGCAGCAGCTACAATTACAGCTCTGTTTTTGCGAGTGCAAGAGGGACAGTGTCCCTGCCGCTCTTAAATGACAGGCGTCTATTAAAGATAGCTTTTGTGCAGTGTTTCTCCGAGGCGAGGTCAGATTCCACACACTTTTATAACCGGAGTCGATTTTTCTTTCTTGTAAATATGGTTTTTGTGTCATTAGTTTGCTATTTGATTTGCTTACGCATCTGGCTTGCAGAATCTTCACCACCGGGTCCCCTTCCTCGAGCCAGCCGGGCTCCAAGTCGGAGGGTTCCCTGTGAACCCAGCGAGTGGGCCCAGGCTTCCTGCGGCCACGGAGCCTGCTTGGGAGCTGGGAATCCGTGGACTGAGTTATTGGGGTCTTGCTTAGACCTCCGGGAGTACATTGAGGGAGCTAATGGAAGCATTTCGTGGCAGTGCCTAGTATCTCCGTAGTTATTTTTCTGAGCTACAAAAGATGAAAGTAAATCACAAATATAGCTGGGAGGCAAGCAGAGTCTCCCCACTGGAGGCCCGGCGTCGCAGGCGCTCCTGGCACGGTCGCAGGTCAGCGCCTTAGTGGCACCCATGGCCCTGAGCCCCCTCCTTGGGTGCTGAAAGCTGCTTCTTGGCGTTGCCGGCGATGTCGGAGGCAGGGAGCGGAATCCGGAGCCAGGAACCTGCGGGAGCCCAGTCGCTCCCGGGGCTGTAACGTTCCACCCGCGCCCAGGTTAGCTCGCCTCAGCTGGCTGTTTCTTTTCCACTGAAGGTGGTGCACAGGCCGGAGAGACCCGGCTATGTCGGGTCCCTTTTGTTCTTCAAGCTCCTTCCTGTTTGGGGGGCGGCCAGAGAGGCCACGGCAGGGCTGGGGCCCCAGCCCTTAGGCCCTCCTCTTTTTCCAGTGGCCTGAGCTGATGTGGTGATGCCCTTCAGGGCTTACTGCCCAACGACCGAGGCGGAGATGCCCAGACACCGAACTGGGCACGGCCTGGGGGGTCTTTCTTCTTCAGCAGCTCCACATTCCAAGCTCAGGGAGACAGCACAGGAGCTGGGGAGAAATTCGGGGCGCACTCCGGAAACTCGGAGCTGACTTGAAAAGCCTTGGGGGAGCAGGCCTGTGTGTGTACAGTGCGCGCCGCTCCACCGCTGGCACCGTCTGTGTTGTGTGGGCTTTTTGGTTGGTTTTTGTTTTGTTTTGTTTTTTGTTTTTGGAAATAAATACTCGCGCGCTTGCAGAGCTTCGGGCTCCCCTGAAGCTGCGGAAGCCCCCCGACAGCAGCACAAGGGGAGAGAAGTTGGGAAGCGGGCAAGGGCAAGGGGGCAAAGCCAAAGGAGGTTGCAGCGCTGGCCTGGTCCCTGCCCAGACGTCTACTCGCCCGCCTTTGCCTCAGAGTCCTCCCCGCTGGGCTGCGTGGAATTGATGAGTTTATTTTCCTTTTTCCACTTCATGCGGCGGTTCTGGAACCAGATCTTGATCTGGCGCTCGGTGAGGCAGAGCGCGTTGGCGATCTCGATGCGGCGGCGCCGCGTCAGGTAGCGGTTGAAGTGGAACTCCTTCTCCAGCTCCAGGGTCTGGTAGCGCGTGTAGGTCTGGCGGCCTCGGCGCCCGTGGCTGCCGTACACAGCACCTGCAGGCAGAAATGGCCGGGTGCGGGTAAGCGAGGGTCCGTAGGGCCGAGCCAGTGAGTCCCTTGCCTCCCTCCGGGGGCCTCTGGGCTGGGAACCACTCTGCCTCGGTTCCTGCCTCTCCCACTACATCTGGGGCCGAAAGCACACCGAATCATAACAAGCACGGTGTCTGCCACCTAAAACAGCCCGGGGTTTTTGAAAAGTCTGTTTTTGAATAGTCTGCCTTGTAAGAAGACCATAGCAAATGAAATAATAGAACGGGCATTTGTAATTTGGGGCAACAGAGTCATATTTTTGTGGGGTGTGGTGTGTGTGCATCTGGGGTAGGTGGGAGTGGATCCCTATTAGCAGTGTAGACACTGAATTCGCACACTGTTCTCTCTAAGGATGCTACTGAGGCCACCTATGTCAGGACACAACACATTTTTTGGAAAGTTAGATATGGTTAGCTCTCTCAAATATGTGCACATTCTCCCAAATTTTATGACCCACTTGAAAACACAGAGGCCCATGGGGGTGGGATTTTAAAGCAAAACACTGAGTTTTAAAATCCATATTAGGTTGTCCTGCTCCAAGGGGAAGGGAGGATTCCCTGTGGGGTCTTTGGAAACCAGGGCAAAGAGATGGACCTACTAGCGGTCTGGGATTTCTTGCAATGTAGGACTGTGCTGGGCTCTTTCTTCTGGTGCCAAAGGTGCCCAAGGGCGGGGGGAGGGTGGTGGAGAGTCTCCACAAGCCTAGTGTGAGGCTCAGGCAGGGGATAGAAGGAGGCAGAAGTTGGCTAAGAGAGAACAGTTGAGTGGAAGGGGGAGGAGGGAAGGGAGGAGAAAAAAAGTCCTGAAGCTAGGGATGTGGCCCTCCAAGGCTTTGGGGGGAAACACTGAAAGAAGCCAAATGGAGCCCTCTCTCCATCCAGGGTTCTGAAGGGCAGAGAAGAGAGGGGTTGTAGCTACAGCAGGCCCTCTCTACCTGGAACCTGAGCACAGGGTTGCAGGGTGCAGCGTGGGGGTTCTCCCTCCCAACCTGCTTCCCTCTCTCTTCAGGGCCCTGTCACAGTTCCCCCAGTTTGGCAGTGATTCCCCCACCTTCCTTAAAGTGTCACCTTACATGGACCTTACTGCCCTCCTTCTCCTCTGCTTTGGCCTGATGGCCCCATGGGGAATGGTTTTTTTCTTTTAAAATCTACTTTAAAAAGCCAAAGAAACTTTGTCCATTCTTTCCTCCTTGCATTCTCTCTCTTCCTCTTTCCACTGCCTCTGTCTCCTTCCTTCCTTCCTTCTTTCCCGGCCTCCTTCCCCCTCTGCCTCCACTGTCCTGGGTGGGGGTGCAGGGAAATGCCTTACCCGCACAGGAGTTCATCCGCTGCATCCAGGGGTAAACAGGGCTCGTGTACTTCCGGTCGGTGCCTTCGTCATGGAGGGCTTTGCCCTGTATGGTGCTGCTGTCGGGTTTGTACTGCTGCTCGGGAGAAAAGTGCAGGTAGTCCCCGGGGCCCCTCTGCTTGCCACTGCCCGAGGGCGAGGCGCCACTGAGGTCCTTATCAGAATAGAAACACGAGGCCCCGTACTCGTAGGACGCCCGGTTGCAGGCCAGGACCGAGTTGGACTGTTGGTAGAAACAAGGTGAGGTGTACGTCTTGTCCGGGAGGCTCGACGCCCCGTACGAGGCCGGGAAGGGCCTCAGCGCGTCATAGCCAGCCGGGTAGAGGGGCAGCTGGCCCAGGAAGGAGTCCTGGCCGCTGGGCAGGCTCCCGGGAAAAGTGGGATTCACAAAATAGGAACTCATTTGCGCGCCCCTCTGCAGGACTGTGATTTGTTGTGTATTAGTACATCTGGCTATAACTATTAGTAGTCATCGAACTGGTTTGTTTCTGGATGGCCGAACGCCAAAAGCGACAGCAGCAAATCGCACCAGCTGACGCGGCGGCGGCCAATGGGAGCGAGCGCCGGAGCCCGCTCCCCAGGGACCGCGGCGACCGAGGCAGCAAAGTTACAAACAGCCCCCAGCCCGCCCGCCGCCGCCCGCCCAGCAGATTAATGTGCGCGCACAGCCAGCCCGCCCGGCTCTTTCCCCCAACGCCAGCGGCCGGCCTGGCCCGGGCAGGGACGTGCAGATCAGACCCGGGCAGGAGCGCTAGCGCCCAGGCCGCCTGAAAGGCCCTGTCAGGCTCGCTCTTTCCTGCACCCCCCATGCCTTTTTTTTTTTTCCTTGTCGGATTTTGCTGGTTTTTTTCTCCTCCAAACAGGAAACCCGACCACCCTGCCGCTAAGAGAAGCGGCAACCACGATGGCTTTGCTCCTTGCTGGCCTGCTGTCCAGACCTGACACCGAGTTGCCCCTCCCCTTCCCCCCCCATGGAGGGTGTGGGGTCTTGAGCTGGAGTAGGGGTTCTGAGAAGCCAGGCCTTCCCTCTGCTCTTCACTAGCAAGCTTGGGAACGCTGGACCCCCTCATTCTCTCCTTCCCACTTCAGTCAGAGGTCTGGGCCTGGCAGCAAAGAGCCAAAGGCTCATCCCACACTCACCAGGACAAGGCCACACAGCCTCCTCCTGCTGCCCCTGCCTTCCACATATAACAACATCTTATTTGGGTACAGATGGGCTCCCCTGCAATGGCTCATGCCTACTTGGTCTCAAAGCAAGTATCCTCACCAGCTGCACACCCAGTCGTTGAGCCCAGGGAACAGAGAGACCAGAACCCACAGGTTTCAACAAGAAAGGACCTGCGGAGGAGCGGCTGTGAGACGGGGCTCTGACTGCTGCCTCTCCTCTAGCACCCCGGGACTCTCCGAAGCCACCCAAACTGCTCAGAAGCTGGGACAGGAAAACCCAGATGGGGACTCTCCCTCCTCATCCCAGAGGCACTGATGACACAGGGCTCCTGGTGGAGCAGGGCACCAAGAACAGCTGGACGGGTCCCAAGGATGGACAGTAATTAATGGGCTTGGTTTCCGGGGTGCCTGTCTGCTGGCACTGTCATGGGTAGCGTCCTCTTTCTTGCTCTTCCTAAGACTACCCCGGAGGCTGCCACTGGCAGTAGCTCCAGAACAGTGAACAGTTTTCTCACAGGCTCCAGAAATCCTGAATCCCTTTTCCTGTGGTCCCAGGCCTGGCAGCTCCCGGATAGGACACAAAAAGCCTGTCCTGGGCTGCTGTCTCTTGCCTGAGAGGTGTGCCTTCAAGACAGTTCACTTTTACAACACAAGGATCAATCTCGTTTTGTAAAATGTGATGTCGGTCCAGTGGCATTTTTATGACTGTTTGTTGGGCTTGTAAAACTCCTTGAATTAGCTTTAAAATCCTCAATGCTGTGGAAGTTGAAGAAATGACATTATTTGGTTGGATTTCGGGAGGCTATTTTTAAGATCTGTAAAACCCTGGCCAGTATAGGCTGATGGGGTTCAGGACTTGAGGGGGGCGGGGTGGCAACTGGCAATACTCCCCTAGGAATCTGGTAAGGACTTCCTTGATCTCTTTCTTGCTTTTCGATTTTTTTCCCTGACCTCCCTTCCCCCAAAATAAAAAAAAATTGAAAAAGACTGGGCTACTATCGGCATGGCAGCGGCCTCCACAGAGCCCGTGACGGCACTCTTGAAGGGTTGAGAAAGCCTTGAGCCTGTACTTTAATCAATCCAGAGAGGGAAAGTTTTCCCTTTGCATATAAAAGGTCATTCAGAAGAGAATACATTTTCACATTTTCCACAGATTTCTTCAGGGACAGGATCCAACAGATGAAACACTCAAGAGTCAAAACAGTAAAAAGGGAATTTTTTTCTTTAAAAGCTGTGTTTCAGTTATTATATCTTACTGAGTTTCAGTTATTGTATCTTAAAATCATCAGATAACAGTAATTTCAAGCGAGTTATTTAAAGTGAAAATAACCGTTTTGCAGATGTTGATAAATGCTTACATTTATAATTTCTCTCCCATTCCTTCATGTTCTACGCAGTGTTGGAGCTACTGGCAGTTTACTATTGTTATTATTGTTAGGCTTTGACCTGGATTCTCCATCCAGTAACTGTCCCAGCAAATGAAAGAATTTGATTGTTCAGCTCAGAGCCAGAAAACATGATATTTCTAGCTTTTGTAAGCACTAAAGTGGAAAAAATAATACATTAAATTGAAATCTTTACATGGTAGTCAAGGCTAGTGCATATCATGTTGACAGCCAATCAATTTATCAATTTCTTTCTCATATATATATATATATATATATATATATATATATATAGGAGAGCGAGAGAGTCACAAGGAAGAACCCATTCAGACAATAATAGGAGCCCCACACCCTCCCTACAGCCTATCCTGGATGGTGGCAATGGCCACCGCAGAGCTCTCCCTTCTCTATCAAAGGTGAACAGAAAGCCAACTTACCTTTCAGCTTCTCTCATTGGGGCAGGGTGTCCAGTAGGGTCACACCTTCGGCTCTTGCCCTGGGCTGCCCATTGAGCTCCTACACTTCTGCCAGGCTGGAAGAAGGCCTTCAGGGATGTGTGGGAACCCTGAAGGCCCACATTCTACCTTTCGGATCGATAGCTCAAGCCAGAACCAGCAGCACACAGGTGCGGCCTCTGCCTGTCACAGGTTCTTGCCTGGAGCCCAAATCCACCTTCCTTGCGATAGCCAATACTTCTCAGGGCCAGCCGGGCCAGCAGGCCTCAGGACTACAAGTGATGTCTCCGATGTCAGAATCCCAAAGCCAGAGCGTTCCCCCAACCGGCGTGCGACCCCAGAGCTCCTTGGGACGCGCAGTTTGGACAGAAGCAGCCATGACGTGCCAGGCGGCCTGTGAAACCAGTCTCCATGGTGCTGGGGTGGGGAAGAGGGGAGGACCCGGGTCTATTCTGGCGTCCGGTTCAGTCTGGGGTGGTGGAGGCCGGTAGATTTCCCAGCCAAATAGACCCTGGAAGACTGCCCTTCAGGTCCCCTTTCGTCCCCGCTTCCCCGGCCTTCAGGGGAATCTCTAAAGGGCCCGCACAGCAGTCGCGCCAGGCTGGAAGACGCGGGCTGCGGTTGGCGCCGGTCCCGGCGACGGCCACAGCGTGGCAGCAGCGAGCGCCATCTCGATCACAATAAATAATGTGCCCGCGGCAGCCGCAGTCGGGCAGCCAACGGCCCTGCAAGGCAAACGCGCCGCTTTATCTGCCCGAGCGCACCCAACGGGCCAGCGAACGCCCCCAAACATTTACACGCCTTCTTGGTTACCCAATGCATACCAAGATATTATCTCAAAATCGGAAAACAACAAGAACAACAAACAAAATCCAAACAAACACGGTAGAACTCCAGCCCAGAACCTGGAGGTTGATTCTTGTCGCCCGGAGCTCCCCGGGGCAAATCTGGTCCGTGGAGCCAGGTTCTTGTCGCCGCGCTACGCAAAGCTACCGCCAGCACTCCCTCAAGGCCTCCTCCCGGCCAGCTCCACGGTCCTCTCCCTGCTCACGCGAGGTGGGGCGCACGGTCGCCAGCTCTCTGAGCCGAGGTGGGGTAAAGAGGGTCCCCCTATTGCCCAGACTCGGCTCACGTCCTTCTTCCAACCTTAGCTGCGGCCCCTGCCACCTGCAGTCACACCACAACGTTCTCCGCTCCAAAACATCCCACCAAGTAACATCCAATTAACCCCGTCCTCTCCTCCAACGCAGAATTCCGCCCACGCACCTATTCCCTTGCGCCTCAGAAGCCTCGCTCCTCGGAAAACCGGGCGAAGAGAAAAGCAGGCGATCAGCAAAGAACTCTGGCTGAATTAGTAAGTTGTTTGTTTGTTTGTTTGTTTCCCCATGTTCTACCTTTCTCTCCGAACCCAGCTCCCAGGGACTAGAAGGTGCGTTGACGCTCGTAAAACGCCTGTGGGGTAACTCACTTTTGCCCTCACCTCTTCTCAGCTCCCCAGGTCGGGAGCTGTCTTCTGTTGTTGGGGAATTCAGTTGAACCAATTGGGCCATGAATGAAAAAAACAAAATAAAACAAAAAACAAAGCCTCCAAAAGACAATCCCTTAGGCTGGCAGGAAATGCGAAGTGCGGGATCACTTCCTTTTATGCTTCCCGGCGTGGCTGGGGAAGGGGGGAGAGAAGCCCAAGTGCTACTGCCAGTGCCAGGGCGCCGTGCCACGGAGGGAAGGCGGGCGCTTACTGCCCTGGTGATCGAGGGAGGGGAGGGACCGAGTGGGGTGGGGTGTGTGGGGGAAGGGGTGTGTGTGAGTGGGCTGTGGGGTGCACCGGGTCCAGCATGGGGGGTATGGCATGTCCCTTTTCAAAGCCGCCTTAGTTGCCTTCTCCCACCGCGTGGCACCTCACCACCTCCGCTCCTGTCTCTTCCCCACATGTCTCACCTTCAGATGGCGGCTCCCAGAAGGTCCTGCTCCTCTGACAGCTGTCGCTCCGGCAGCCCGGAGACGAATTGTCCTCCTTCCTGGTGCCAGAGGACGCAGGAAATTAGCCAGGTTGCAAGTTGCAAAGCGGCCGCCTCGGCGCCGGGAACCGGGCGCGCCCCACCTCCCGCGGGAGCGGCCGGGCCGGGCCTGGCCGGGGCTTCCCCTCGCTGGACATCGGCGGACAAAGCGCAGCCCAGCCGGGCTGGAAAGGCAGAGCTCCGAAGCAGGCAGGATGGAGCGGAGCAAAAGAATGCGGCTCTATTCTCGCAAGGGAAATTATAAAAAAGTTCATGTTCACGGTTCTCATCCACATGACCGACAGCGGCCAATGGAAGGGCCGAACAACTCATAAAGTTGCATTGCAAAGTTGTAAATTTTCATAAACAACAACGGATTTATGACCCTTTCCCCATCACTAAGAGGAGGCAGCTCTTACACCGGCGCCATCTTACCACCGAGGCCGCCCGGACTTGGGCCGCAGGTTTTACAGACCCTTTTGGGTCGGATTTTATAAAAAGAGCCCTAGGAAGCTGTCCCAACCCAGGCAGGAGATAGGAGTGGAGGTCTTAGCTGGCAGCGCTCAGGATGCTCTACATTGGCCCCGGGGCCCCTACCCTCACCTCTTCCCCCGCCCGCTGTTCCTCCGCACCCAGACACCCCTGGTGAGGCTGCGCAGCCAGATTCTGCGGCTCTTGCCCCTCCTGCCCCTCCTCTAACCCCTCTTTGCTGCAGTGCTGGCCCTGGGGAGCCGTCGCCCGCCTGACGGGCAGAGTGTGGGTGCTGCAGCAGGGGTCCCCAGTCCCATTTTCTAGCCAAGGACTGAGTTCAGGGCACATGCGGACTCCGGGATTTGTTGCAGAGTAGGTAATACCCTCTTCAGAGTCCACTTGCCAGCCTTAGAGCAAAGGGTGGATTTGGAATTCGCTCCTGGAATTTTGGAGGTTTTTAAGAGGTTTGTAAAGTATAATGTGTCTGCCAAAGATTCTATTTTCAAGGGATCTATATCTGCACACACAGAGAGAAATCAGACAAAAGTAGCCATAAAAACACGAACAAAATTATAAATACAGGGAAATGGATACACTCAATTATAGACACAGAAAACGTGTAATTGTGGATACACAGAAAAACATGCACCCAATTATGGTCATGGAAATAAGTAGACACATTTATGGACACAGATATATACACAATTATAAAATAAAGCAAAAATATATATCCAAGCATACACAGACATACAAAAATAGGCACATACATACCCATACAAATCCACACACACAAATGTAAAATGAGACATGACATGCCTACACACTAATACACGGATAACGCAACACTGGGAGCAGAGAACAGTCTTCCTCTTTTGCTTCCCAACTGCCCCTTTGGGCACAAAGACACGGCCAGGACTTGCCCTTCAGCTCTGGCCACCTCCCCTTACCCCGACCCCTCAAGATAAAGCACTCCATGTTTCTTTGTGACCAAGCATCTTTATTTTTATTACATAAAACATGGTTGGCTGGGCTAGGAACAGTTCCTTCCCTGAACACCAGGCTGGAGCGTAGGGGGACGTAGGACAACACAGGAGATGAAGGGCGTTGGGGAGGGCATTGGACCTCCCCACCCACTACAGAGTTAGTTCAAGACAACACACCATGCTATAAAGTCACCCCCTTAACATATCCTCCCCAAGTCAAGACATTTCTTTACAAATGAGCTCCAAGACTATAGAAATGACCAAAAAATCTCATTCAAATATACAATATTTGCCATCTTAGGAAAAGTCAGGGTGTACATAGTTGACATGGCTGAACAGTAGGACACAGGAGCCAGAGGAGAAGACAATGATGCTGGAGCGTCTCCACAGTCCTACAAAGCAGAAGCTAACCCAGAGGTTTGCAGCCCGCTCAGGAATACTCCCCTCCAGAAGTAGGGGGTGATGGGCCTGATCTTGGGGTGTCCAAGCCAGAGAAAGAGGGATTCTAGGTTGCAGCACTTAGTATGCTTTGGAATAAATATATTATTTTTCAATTTAAATAGAAGCCAATGCCCTGATCCCTGGACCCCAGTGCCTTCTCCGTGATGCCTTGGGGACCCCAAAGGCTGTGGCTGGAAGCAACAGGGGCCCGTCTGCGGGCGGGGGCTGGTGACAACAAGTAGCAAGCAAGCCAGCCAGCACAAATAGGTAGTTTGGGGCTAATAGGTAGTACTGAAAGAATTGTGTTCCTGTGGGTATGGAGTGTGGTGCTGGGTGTCTGCCAGTGTTGGGACACTAGGAGGCTTCCTGGAAGTGGAGGCCCACTGCAGCTGGGCCCATAGGTAGTTTGGGGGTGCCTCTCAAGGAGGCCTGTGCTAGGTAGTATTTTGGCCATGCCAAGGCAGAGCGCTGGCCTGGGGCTAGGGGTATCTATTGGAATTCTGAGGGAAAGGGGACCCCAAGGTGACCTTGTCTTCATAGCCTCTCAGTCCAGAAATTTGGGAGCTACATCGGGTGATGGGGTGGGTGCTGTTGGGAGTTGGGGTGTTTTTCTTTATCTTTTAAATTTTTCTTTTATTTTCCCCCATTTTTGTAAATAAAATCAGTGAGTCTTAAAGACGCTTTTCCGACTGTCCGATGCAGCCAGGGCCCTAGCTTGGCCCTTCATTCCTCCTCTTCCTCCTCCTCCTCCTCCTCTTCCTCATCTTCCTCATCGGCCTTGGCTGAAGCAGCAGCAGCAGCAGAGGGCACCGCGCCCTCGGGGGCTGCAGCAGGGGTGGAACCCTCTTCCTTATGCTCTTTCTTCCACTTCATGCGGCGGTTCTGGAACCAGATCTTGATCTGGCGCTCGGTGAGGCAGAGCGCGTGGGCGATCTCGATGCGGCGCCGCCGCGTCAGGTAGCGGTTGAAGTGGAACTCCTTCTCCAGCTCCAGGGTCTGGTAGCGCGTGTAGGTCTGGCGGCCTCGCTTCCTGTCTGGTCCTGAGAATAGAAATGCGGACACATGGACACCCGGATAGACAAGCAGACAGGGACATGGAAAGAACAGTGCATTAGCCAGGCTGCTGTCCAGAGGGTGCACTTTCTTCCCTTCCCAGAACTAGGCGGATGGCTCCCCTCTGCCCCAAAATTTAGAGCAGAGCTGGAGGCAGGGGCGGGGGTGGGGTGGGGTGGGACAGTGTTAGCAGAAGACCCAACCCTGCAGCCAGACGGCAGGCAGCTCTGTAAGAAGGGAAGCAGCAGAATTCTAACTTTACAGCCAACCGACCTTTCCAGCCGGCTACGCTTCCACAATGTCCTGCTTCCCCCTGACAAAGGGAAATTGTAAATATAGAGTGTGGGCAAGTGGGAGACCTGAACTTTTGCATTCAAAGGCGAGCCCAGCCTTTCCCCAGCCTTCCCAGACGAGTGGCGACCCTCCCCGTCAGCGTCAACCCCATCCCTGGGACCTTCCTGGCGCACTTCGACCCTCTGTCCCCTTCGCTACCGTCTTCAATGGCCCCTGGCACAGGGGTGGGTGAGGGGACCCAGAGGGTTTGGCTCCCTCTGCTTTTGAGAAGGAAAATCGAGGCTGAAAGGAAAAGAGGGAGAGAGGGAACGAGAAGAAAGGGAGGGAAGGATAGAGGGAGAGGGAGAGAGAGGAGAGGAATAGGGAACAAACTTAATGTTAAAATTCCAAGGCGAATGGAGTTAAATAAATTTACGAGGATTGAAACCATTAATTGGGCCATAAAAAGTTTTATGAGCCTCATTTACATACAATGCTACGGGGCTCTCCACGCAATGGCGCCTCGGCTCTAATTAAAACCAGAAAGGCAGCGCCGCCAGGAGTCACGGGGGCCGCGGCTCGCGGCCGCCTGGCTCAGCTCTCCCGGGCCCTGCGCCCCAGCCGCGCT